ACAAAGATAAAACTGAATTGAACTGGCTGGCTGAACTAAGCCCTCTCTTTTCTCTGCACTGCAACTACTGCCTCGTTCTGGGGATATCACAACTTCCACTGACACCACCACTGCATTTTGTTGTAGAACTAGGAAAGGTCTTTCCAATTTGTCCACATAAGGTAGACTACATACTGAAATCTTCATGATTGCTTGTTTATTTAAAAAAAAACAAAACACAATTCTGGGCTGCCCATAAGCCTTTGCTTCTCTGAAAGAATCTGTCAGATTTGTGTCTACTATGTACCAGGGTTAAGGAAAATCTAACTATCTTTGAGCTACTCCTTCATACTATTTGACGGGTAAGTAGTAAACCTTATTGGAATACTTACCTTCATGTTTTGGTATGTTGAAAGTGTTCAGACCACAGGCCTGCAATAGAGAAGGCTAAGGATAAAAACAAAATAACCAAAAACTCTGCTTTCAGATGTTGACAGGATGTATGCAATCAATTAAATGTTAACTCCATGACTCTCCTATTATTTACATTACAGTACTGCCCAGAGGCCCTAGCCAGGATCAGGAGCTCTTTGTGCTAGGTACGGTGCAAATACATAAAGAAACTGTCCCTGTCCTGAAGGTCTAGACAGAAACTGTGGCAAGAGCAGTTTTGGTATAGTGAACAGGAGGATGATAGAAGGGAGGCTATAGCTGATATTGCTAATTTTCTCTTTGAAAAAGCCTTCAAGATCTTGTTCACAGAATGAGGAGGGGACAAATGCCCCAATTATTTTCTGACTTTAACCTCCCATATGCCACGTTCTCTCTGACTGCACTTCATTTCATTTGTACATTTCAGTTTTGGTTAGTTAGGTCTTCTACAGCAAAATGATATGCAATGAAAATTGTGTCTTATCTTTAATTTTTTTCTCCTATCTTCTGACACTCCTACTGTGCATCCTCCTTTCCCATGCAGCTAAAGGACAGAACAAAAGGTGCAGGAGAAAGCCTTGCTCTCAAAGCTGTAACAACACTTATTAACTGTTAAACATGGAATTAATTCATAACTATTTGTAAAGAACCAAACAACATTTTAATATCCTGAAAGTGAGTGAATGGAAAAAAATAATAAATATATCTAAGGATATCCCAGAACCCATAACTAAGGTGGGGTAGATTCTCAGACACGACAGTAGGAGAAACGAAATTAGAAGTTTCAGACACTCCTACTGAAGGATTTAAGAATTAGTGAAGCTCTAAAGGAGAGAAAAATTCAGAGCAAATCAGTTGTTTTTGGTAGAGTAAATCTGGATAAGGGACTATACTACTGAAGGCACTTCTATCAAAAGTTGTGTCCACAGAGGCCATCATCTATTTGGTAGTGCTTTGGATCTCACTGCTTCTTCAGTAGGACTGTCAGACATGAAAGTGTAGAAGAATGAAAATGCTGGTTTGCCTTTAGCCTCACATAAGTGTGAGCAGAAGAGCAGCCTTACAAATACCGACAAAGATTTCATGAGATCTCTGTGCCCCATAAATAGCCAGTGACCTGGCTGAATGAACTGTAATTCCTGGAGGACCAGATTTGCCTCTGACCTTGTCTGCTTCTGAAACACACATTTTCATTTTGAATATCAATAATTTAGAAACATCATCCCTATAACTGACTGGCAGTACAAAGGGAATCTGAACAGAGAATTTGCCCCCCTTCTGATATGCATATTTGCTTCCCCATAAAGTTCACATCTTTCTTCTTTACTTTGTTTTAGATTCAGACAAAAGAAAGGCAAAACAATAACATGGGGTCTGTGCAAATGGATCTTTTGGAGGAATGAAGGTTGGGATGGGTCTCAGTCCTGAAGGAGACCTTGTCACTGTGAAAGATGCTGAGTTGTGGCTCACTGACAAGGTCCTCAATTCTGAAATTCTTCAGAGGTGATTCAAAGGAAGGGGATAGTTACCAGACTTAATCACCAGGTAAGGAACATGTAAGATTAATGGTGGAAATATTGGGGAAATAAGGAAGAAGACAAACTCTGCCACTTCAAGGCATCTTTTTGTATATTAACAAGAGTAAATCAGACCCTGTCTGCCTAATTCTAGTATACTATTCAAAGTTGCCACATGTACCTTCAGAATGTTCAGCCTAAGGACCTAGGATAGATACAGGACTGGAGAGGCATTGAACATGCTTTGCTTTTTGTAGTCCTTTGCTTATCCCTGTTAAGCCTTTGTCCCTGCTAAAGCATGCTAGAAGAACCTTCCTTTGAAATGGTTTGTAAAGGGGGAAGTTCCTCTTCAATAGTTTGGTCAATATCTCAAGAACTTAAAGTTATACTTTTAATTTTGCTACCTTGCTAATGTAATAATACAATATCTGGCAATGCTCAGGTGCAGGAAGGGGCAGGAACTTTCCCCCACTCCTGCCAAAAAAACCCTAGGAATTTGGAATTGCTTTGTTGCTGTTGAATGGGTGGAAAAATCTGTGGCTTTCTATGAAGGAAAGGACTTTACCCCCATAGTTTCAGGTCTGATTCTTCCCCCTACTAGGTGTAGAGAGAAGAAAAAGCCCAAAGCATGATGATCAGATGTTTAATTCACAAAAAGTTGTTTCTCTGATATACATTCTAGTCTTTTGTGCAAACAGCACAGTCCTCCTGGATAAAAACCTTGTAGCTCTTTTAAGAATTTACATTTTCTTCATCAATTTGCCTGGGATCCATGAAGTTAAAAAATAAATTCTATATAAATTGTATATGAGTTTGAAACACTAGTAATTGTGCTCTTGGATATGCTCGTTACCTTCTTCCTTTTATATTGGTTCCAGGACCAAAGCCTACACCTGTAGTCACACAAAGTGTAAACTTGGAAACTGCAGCACTGAGATGTCAAGCTTCAGATTGTACTTTCCAGGAAATAGGAGCAACTGTGTCTGTGGCTGTCTCCTTGGCAGATTTCTTGTACATCCTATTATCTAGTTCCATTTCTGGTTTTGCTTGTCGCTAAAGAGCTGTTTGTAGGGGCTGGTTCATGATCAGCCTGCTGTCGGGCTGTTCTGGATGCAATTATTCTTTGATTTACCACTGAACATGTGGACTTTGCTCTTTCTTCTGCATTTTAAAATTAGGCCTTTCCGAAGACTTAGTCATCTTTTTCAGACGAAATAAAAGATGTTTTGTTAAGTTTGTTTTAAACAAAATATTCATAAGGAAGCCATCACACATTATAGAGGACATCCCTTGCAAAATGAGGTTTTGTTAACCATAGATGACACTTAAAGCCTCTCCTGAAAAAACCAAAAGGGACTCTATTTTTTAATAAACAGTTTACCCAGACAAAGGCCTGTTACTGCACCTACTGAAGTGAATGGCAAAGCTTCCATTTTCTCCAATGAAACAGGATCAGACCCTAAATGTCTATAAACATTAGCTTTTGAGATGACAACTCAATTTTGTACTGTAACTGAAAAACTTCAAAGCTATCAAAAAATTGTCTCAGATACATAATACACAGAAAACATCATTTTGAATTGTTCCAGAATTTTTTATACTGAACGTGTAACAGAGCAACTATGATACCTTATGACACTTAAAATATGTTAATATTAACCATCTCCGCTTAGAAATTATTAAAATGATTATTTTTGTATGCTGCTTTAAATTAAATTTCTTCATTTATGGCCAAATAAATATTCAAGCCACACTGTATAAACAGTTCGGTATTTGTTAAATTGATAAACCAGTGACAAATACAAATGTATTCCAATGTATATACATCCATCTACTAATCATTTAACACATATAGTCATTAAACACATACATAAATACATATCACTCTCTTCAGACTAAGGTTTGAATGGAAACAGCTATATTCTAAAGCCTTTAATTTTCTAATGATGTAATGTCGTCATCATGTTAGTAGTGGACAAGTGCTCAGGAGCTAATGCACATAAATTGAATTATTTCCTAATAGATTTTTTTGGGGGTGTATTTTCCATCTCCCACTGGGAAAATTCACTTTGACTATCTGGATACCATTAGGATTCTGTATACACTCTTTATGGATCATGTCAAGCAAGAGAGTGATTTGAGCCCTTAGGCTTTTTAGAGAGAGGGTAATGATGAGGAATATTGCTAGCAGGTTTGTTGTATGTAAATTTTACCCTTCCAAAGAGATACTGTTATGGCTGTAGGTGAAATGTTTGACCTACTAACTGTATTTCATGTCGTGGTTGTGTACTTTCCTCTCCTGTGCTCATTTGCTCTTTTCCTATGCATATAGAGGCTTATTGGTCTGTGAGCATTTGAGAGCAGGATTCTAGTAAGGTATGTTTTAATTTAATAAAATATCTTATAGGCGAGTGGAAGAAGTGTATTTACAAGTCTACTAATGTGGAAAGAACCAGTTCTGTGGGTTTGTTGGACACTCATCTCTGTTTTGCAATTCTGCTCTTGGAATGGCTGAGCTGGGGACAAATATCAGTTATGGGATGAAAAACAATCTGAACAGGAATATGCCATTTTCAAAATAGGTAAAAGTTTAAAGGTTAAATGCAAAAGAAACATGAGAATTGAGTTTAGCACTTAAAACCAGAACTTAATTAACATCCCCACTAGCCAGGGAATTCAGCACAGAAATAGGTTCTAACCAACTTATTAAAAATCTGTTTTCCCTCTGTGCGAAATCTTAGCACTTCTTGGATCACAAAAGGTAACCTCGGAATACAGTGTCCTCAATGCCAGATGTGCCACTGCACTTTATGGGCACAAACACAGAAAATATAGTATCAACTAGATTATGAATAATGTCCCTTATGTGAAACTCCATTTTTTTTTTTTTTAAAAAAGGGTCATATTCCATATATTTATTAGTGACACTGAAAATTCTCTTGGTTATCTAAACTTATTCAGTATCACCCCTGTTGTTGGGAGAATCCTGACAGTAATATATATATATAAGCATTAGATAATAATGGCATTCTCTTATATGTTTAAAAAGAAAGACACCCCCCCATGTTAACATATTATGTAATCACAGCTTTTATTTAAGTGCAATATGGATACTTTCCCTGAAAACAGGTAGCTCAAAGCATATTTATAAACTTAACAGATATAGACTGCAAACAAACTAATGAAATGTATAGGTTTTCCAGAAAAAAATCTGAGAAAACAGGATCATTTTAACAAATCAAAATGTAATTACAACATAGCTTCTCTATCATTTGTGGTATTTATTATCCCAAACATCTTAAAAGCACATACATTTGAAAATCTGTATGTATGTTTTTAAATATCCTATGTCACATATTTCTTATGAAAATACCCACTTACAGTTGGCACAGTATGTATACTTTTTACTGATAGTCAAAACAAATTTTATCTTGCATATGGCACAGAAAATTATTCACACACATCACAAAAGACTTCAGTGAGCAATTCATTGGGCAACAGCAATTTAGTTAGGTTTTAGCTATAATAAAATATGCATATAAAAGGCTTGAAATGAATGTTTAGGTATGGAACAATATAATGTTTTGTAGTATTTAAACACTGCCATCTGTATCTTTGGGCCACAATTAAAAAAACAAGGGTATGACCATTAAAAGTACATATCCTGAGATTTCTTTCTTTGGGGGCACATAAGGTTAAAAAGGAAAAACTGATCAAGGCATAAACTAGGAACACATGTGGCAATGAGAAAAAACAGCAAATGCAGGGCAGTTAGAGAAAAAACTCTTGAGAGAGAGAAAGAGAGAGAGAGAGAGAGAGAGAGAGACAGACCGACCCCGAAGTGACATGGTAAGATGAACAGCAAGGTCTACTGGAAAAAGGAGAAGCTGACTAGCTTTGCATTTTTGAGTGTGGTAAAATCTACTCAATCATACTAACAAAGTTAAACCTGTAAACTTTCTTCAGAAGTTTAAAAAGTGGCATTTGAGACTGGAGCATCGGTTGCCTATTATAATGCAAAATAGCATGATTTTATTTACAATCAGCATACATTTCCATTCCTGGAAAAAGCAAAGATAGTCTAAAAAGAAATATGCACAACAGGCTTTGCATTTGTGGCATCAGAGTAAAATATCAAATGCTGCATAAGTCCATGACATCAGAGGTAAGAATAATGAAATGTGTGCATTTACAGTCCACTTATTGACAGTCACCAATTAATGTATTAACAGATGGATCTCTTACACAGGATTAAGCAAAACTAATAGTTCTGCTTGACTATTTTAAGAACAAATTCAGCATTTCAGATTAGTTACTTACGTGTAATGTAAGACGATATGTTAAAATCTCATACTGTGTTTTATTCCTTAATTATTTTAGTTTTTATGCACGTGTTATATAGATGGCATACCACAAAAACATTTAAGCAGTTAAGTTACAAAACAAAATATTTGTGTAATTATCTTCAAGTTGTCAAGGTGCACATTCAAAGGGACAGAAAGATAAAGACATATTACAAATCACAAAGCACTGAATTTTCAAGTGTAAAATCATACCAAAATCTTGATAAATTATCATTGATGTTGTAGGAGAGCAGCTGGTCTGGAAGGCCATTAGAGGTGTCCTGTACTGCTAGCACATGGGCTGCTAGGGTGAAGGGTACATCATTGAGGAGCTCTGACATGAAATGATTGTTTTCCAAATGTTGACTTGTCTCATTTCCCTCCTCAGCACCCACTACAGTCAAATGTGAACGTTTTTCTGTATTTGGCTAAAGAAAACAAAGGAACAATAATTTAGACAATACAGATTATGAAGGCTAAGATTCACACTTGAAAACATTATGACCTATTTATAATATGCAGTAGTGGTGTTTGGTTGGAGTAGACTACAATTGAAATTCTTAATGCATAACATGACAATTCCTTGAGTCAAGCTTAGTTTAGCCAAGGCTGTAAGGATTTTTCTGAATGAATAATGGCAGTTTTTCTGGCCACATAATCCTACTATACAATTGTGAACACTGATTGACAAATATACCAGTGTATACTTCTAATTTGAAACTGAAATTGCCCAACTGGTTGGGTGTGCCTGTAATTACCACATAAAGTGATAGTGCATGTAACAAGAAAAAACACAGTTTTTGCACAATGTAACCATCGGAGATTATTGAACAAGCACTGCTAAAAAGAAAAATCTGGGCAGTTTACTTCAAAATCCTGCTATGCAAATTAAATAAATTATATAGTCCATTAGATAGGGTACTGGATTAGGGGAGATTTGAGTCCTGACCTGCTGTGTGACATTGGATAAATCACAATCTCTATCCCAAAGGTTCTCAAACTGTGGTCCACGAGCTCCATTCAGGGGGTCCACGGATAGTTCCCTCTAAGGTGCGCACCTGGGAAGCCGCACATGAGAGAATGAAGGGCCACCCACCTAATTAGGGCAGCTGCGCTGGTGTGGCTCCACTAATTAGGTGCCTGGACCCTGGAGAAGAAGCACTTGTAAGATGAGGTGGTGGCCTTGGGGGGAATAGGGGGTAGGTGAGAGGGGGGAAGTAGGGTGAGAAGAGGGGGTGGGTGGAATTTAGGACATGCAGGGTTGCGGCGGCCAGAGAAAGAGGTGACTTTTCACAGCTCCAGGGCTGGGGCTGCAGGGGAGAGACAGCCTTCATTCCCAGCCCCAGCTCAGGGGCTGCCATGGTGGGGGGAGAGAGGAAGAGACCTCCTCTCTTTCCCAGCCCCAGCCCCAGCTCTGGAGCTGCTGCGGCGGGGGAGAGAGGGGACATCCACCACATTAGACAGGTAAGACTACTGATATTAAAATATTAGTTGTGTGCTTTTATTTGTAAAACAAAAAAAGTTAATTATTATTAAGCTTTTTTTTAATATAGCGCTTTTATCCAAAACACTTTGCAATAGTGAGCTAACAGTATAAACAACATTTGGAAAGATCATTAAGTGGTCCTCTGAGACCCTCAGCAATTTTCAAGTGGTCCGCAAAAAAAAAAAAAGTTTGAGAACCACTGCTCTATCCTATAGTTTTGCCATATTTAAAACAGACACTAAACCCTCCTTCCTTTGTAAAGCACTTGAGATCTATGGGTGAAAAATACTCTACAGGAGATAAATATTATATTGCTATTTATATCTTTCAAGCACTGTACACACATTTGTTAATAATTCACAGCATCTCTGCGAGGTAAGTGATTACTGTATCTCCATTCTATAAAAGAGCAAACATACATAGAGATGTTAAGTGACTTGTTCAAATCCAGTTAGTGAATAATGGCAGGGCATGGAACAGAACTCAGAAACTCCCGATTCCCAGCCCTGTGTTTACTCCTTTAAACCACTCATATACAAGTAAATGCAAATATAGAAAAACCCAAAGAATATTTTTATTACTAAGCTTCCTTAAATCTCTACTGTAAAATTCTACGATCAGCGTGAACATAAATTTTCAAAAAGTTGGACAAGTTTTTAGATGCATGACTCCCATTAACTTTAAAGGGACTCATAAAGCTAAGATGAGCAATGTTAGATTTCTGTGTCAACTGCACATAACTGTAGTTTTTGTGGAGAAGCTAAGGGTTGTGGCTGCTTGGCAGGGGATAGTTTGGGATTTTGGTTCCAGCGAAATCATAAGAGGCAGTTGAGTCTTTTGGCATGGGGAAGCGGAGGGGTAGCATTTTCCCCTTGTGGGCAGGACTGGAGATGTCTTGAAAGCAATCTGATAGCAAATAGATGCCTCTCATCTAGTAATGATGGATAAAGAAACACTAGATAACTGTCTACTAAAATGATCTGCAGTGAAAGAGTTAAGATTAACATTTACAATTCATTAGGTTTTAGAGTCATCACACTTCTGAGATTAATAAGGAAATGCTGACCTCTCAGAACTACTGTTTCAGAATAAGGAAGGTAGTACTCCATCATTTACATTTGGTTTGCATTTGGAAGGCTTTCTTTACAATGATAAAGGCTAGAAATTTAAAGCTTAGGATCTACTGCACAAAATCCACAATCACAGAATTCATATGACCTCTCACCTTGGGTTTGGAAATTTTACAAGATATCTAATATCCAGGTGAACAAACTTAGTAGCCAGAATAGATACAAAAGATGGTGTTCCACTGTCCATAGGCAATGCCCAGGTGAAAAGAGAACCTCCCACCCAGCTGCTGGGATTCACTCTAGGTGGCTACCTTTGAACTCAGGTTGTGGTCTCCCTCTTTCATACCAGCCTCTGGTGTCAAAGCTGAAGGCCCTATCTCCTTGAAAAGAAGGAATATTCTCTCTCTTCATATACATTCTAGAGCCTCCTGTCAACAGAATCTGTGTATGGTTGGGTTTCTCCTAGTCTAACAGATCCTCAGCCAGCCCGTTGCAATATGGGTTTTGTGTGTGTCTGCTACTCAACTCTTCCCTCTGCTTTCTAGATCAGTGGTTCTCAAAACTTTTGTACTGGTGACTCTTTTCACACAGCAAGCCTCTGAGTGTGACCCCCCTCCCCCCCGCAATAAGTTAAAAACACTTTTTTATATATTTAACACAGTTATAAATGCTGGAGTCAAAGCACGATTTGGGGTGGAGACTGATAGCTCGCAACCCCCCATGTAATAACCTCACAACCTCTTGAGGGGTCCCGACCCCCAGTTTGAGAACCCATGTTCTAGATGCTACAATGGATGTGCTTCTTTTATTCTTCATCCCATCCCCAGCCTCCCTTTCTGAGTTCTGCATTCTTGTGAGTAGCTCCAGTACTTGCTTGCGCAGTTGCTTATAGTTTTGAAAAGGATTAGCAGAATGAAACAGACAGGGTCCTGGTCAGTTTCTTTACTTTTGCCTCAGGGATCTAAGTGACAGCAGTGAAAATGCATAAAAAAAGAGTAACAATTTCAACTCTGCTGAAGGTTTCCAAAGCTGCAAGGAACAGCTGAGACAATGGAGCTGTATATCTGCAAGCTCAGGAAGACATTCTTGCACTGGTTTATACTCCATTCAAGTTTGGATGGTTATCTTTGCAATTATCAAAGCCAGCAACATTTTTTTTATAAAAGGAAACTTAGATTATACGGCAGTTCATCTCACAGGGAAAGCTTCCTACTTGCTGAGAGCAAACAGGAAAGTGGATTTCCAAGCTCTGTATGATAAAAGAATTCAAACTGAAATAAAACTATCCTGCCTATCTTTTCTGAGAACTTTGATTATCAGAAGGAAGCAGACTAGTTTAACAATTCAGTTTAATTTAGAAAAGGAGCAATAAAAGACCAGGTATCTGTACCTTTAATTTCTAACATCTAAATAAAAAGGCATGTTTATCTTTAAACTGTACCCTGCACAAGCATCACAGTCACTTTATCTCTCCAGATAGCTATCCTATTTGAGCTTTTTTAGAGGTGCTGGTATCTGCTTGCACTACATTAGCCTCATGCTGGCAAGCACAGATCTGAGTCAGAGCACAGTAAATGAAGGTTAGGAAAAGGTGGTATTGTAAGAGTTTGGTTATAGGGGGTCTTCAGATAACATTTTTTTCTCACCTTTCTAAGGAAAAATGAGCCCCCCATTTGCTGTCCTGATCCTATGGCCTACATGATAATTAGAAATCACTAGACTCTTACGTTTGTTTGGAAGACTATACTGTTAAGAACACCTGTTTACATCCTAATTGGCCCACAAAGTGGATGAATTCAATTTACAATGCAAATTAGAACATTATGTGCTGAAATTAGTTTAAAATAAGATGAAAATATACAGGCATGTGGTACACAGAAAGACAATTACATATCCCCTCTTCCATGTAATAAATTTCATGCCTGTGAAAGGTGCAAATTGGTAGCACTGGAAATGTTAGTGCACGATTTAAAAAAAATAAAAAAGAACTGCCAATTTACTTCAACCAGTGGTTGGATTACGAGGAAAATAAATTGGCAGTATTTTACTCTTAAACCCCATTTCCACCATACTCCCAATCCCCACAATTTTCATTCACCAAATCCACCTTGTCAGGTATTTCCATATTACATAGATATCTATGCTATTTAACTTAACAAGGGGTTGGGTGTAACTCAGGGAGAACAGGGGTTTAAAAAGCCAGCTCATAAGCAACCAAAGGAGTTAGCAAAACAGGGGAGTTTTGCAGGCAAGTTTAGAGAGGGAGTGTGAGAGACAGATACACCTAATAAACATTCTTTAAGCTTAGGCCAATAATGGTTCCCCTGCCAAAAAACAACAAAACACACACGGAGCAAATATATACAACAAAAACCACTGCAAGAGTATAAATAATGCAGGAAGAAGTTGAGCAGCAGAATGGCAGCTATCCAGTTTATTACACTGAATGCAGCATGTATGTGGACAGGTAGCATATAAGTGCATTCAGTGCAAGCAGCTCATGCCCTCAGAGACACTGTATGGGCCCTTCAGACCAGAGAGGCTGAACTAGAGCAGCTAAGGGAGACAGAAATGTACACAAACAAACTTACTGGGACACAGCAGAGTGGTCCCACCCCTAATCTGACAGCCTCTGTGCTGCTGGGGAGGATGAAAGTCTCAGGGAAGGAGATTGTCAAACTGGAGCAGAGGAAAACAATCCCATAGTTGGGACCCTCCTTCCAGATGATGTCATGGTATCCTCTCACACTAAGGATACCTCTCTGGGGGGACTGGACCCTTGTTATTAGGAAGAGACAGGTAAAAGTAATGGGGGATTTATTACAGAAATACAGATAGTTGGGTTTGTGATGACTGGGAGAACCGCGTAATG